TGCAGGGCCTGAGGCAAGCAGCTCTGAGGTTCAGGATTCAGAATTCCAGCACATCGGAGCAGCCTCCACGCTCATGTATAGTGTGGTGTCCGACCAGCTTGCCAGGCTATGGCCGAGAGCCCGGAGCGTCAGGTGGGTACTTCAGCGAGTGGAGCGGAATTAGGCACAGATGCGTATTATGAAAATTGTTTTTTTTCTTGCGCCGCCGATGCGTGCAGCGCAGGAATAAGCTGACTTTGGTTGCAGTTACAAACGTAGCGAGAGCTCTTTAAAATGAGACGAGACGTTCTGTAAATGGCTTATTGAGCATGCAGGAGAAGGGGTACGTCAAGGAGGTCGGTGATGGGGAGTTGTTGGTGGGTGATCAGTCCGCCTGATCCACCTGTTTTTCGCCTTCATCGAAGCGCACGGAGTAGGTGTTCGGGTATGGCTCTGCACTGATGATCCTTCCTTTGTATACTTGCGGGTGTGATTGGTGTGGGTGTGGGATGGTGATCCAGACAAGTTCGTCCGGCGTGAACTTCGGGTGCCACGGTTCTGGGTGTCAGGGGTTAGACTTATCCCATAGGGTTTTGTGTGCATTGAGCGAAATGAGGACGTCGTGGTTTAATTTCGTCCAGTTCTTGTAGGTCCCGCCTCCCTTTAAGCGTAATCGCTCTTTATAAAGGCCAATGTGTCTTTTTACCACCCCATTGGATTGGGGATGGTATGGGAGATGGAGATGCCAAGCGACGTTATGGAGGCGGGCAAATTTGTCGAGCGCTGTGGAGTTGAATGGTGGGCCTCCGTCTGATTGAATTTTGTTGGGGGGTTGCCAACTGGCAAATGCTGTAGTTAGTGCCGATATGACAGCTGTGGCGTGGCTTTTCCGTAGCGGGATTACTTGAAGTTGTCGTGTGCCAAGGTCGATGATGTACTCGACCGGGTATGCGGTGAGGCAGTTCGGTGCGTCGGCTGGGTCCGTAGTCGCTGACTTCATGAGGGCTTGTAGCCGCGGGAGCTGGCTTAGGATGTTCCCGGCTGGGTGAGTGGCTAATGGGTTGAGGAGGAGCCGAAGGGTGATAGCGCTCTCTCCTCCGTAAACCTCTACGCAGGCTTCTATGGCTTCGAGAGTGGCTGGGACCGCTCCGGGATTTCGTAGGTGGCAGTGGGCCCACCCCCCGTTGCATTGGGCTTGTGTTAGCCCCAACTGATGTACTCTTGGGTTCCAGAAGCAGCATGAAACCCCTATTATAGCTAACAGGAGTTGCTCTGCAGTGGCTCTTCCCGTTCGTCCGTCATGCCACGCGTGAGATTTATGATCAATTTGTCCTGCCACGAGGGACGGGAGCGGGATGTTCCAGTGAGTGTTGCCCATTACTAGCGCTAGGTTGGTGGCGTGCTTCCTGCTCCATGAGGCCTGACGGGCTAGGAAACAGGCTTCTTCTAGGTCTAATAACTCAGACCCGAATTTGACTACAAGGCGTCCCAGCCAGGTAACTAGAGTTTCGGCGGGCTTTATTTTCGATTCCCTGCACAACTCTTGCAACTCAGCTCGATTACAGGTGCGGTAGGTGGTGGTGGTGCGGGTTACGCCTTGCGGGTCGGTTGTTTGTTTGACCAAGGCTATGGGGTGAGCGGCTGCTGGGGGTGCTGGTGTGCTCGGCGGGAGGGTTGGGTATAAGTTCCCGCTCGGTGGTTCCTCCCCGTAATAAGGGGGCGGGGGCGTTGGCTGTGTTCCCGCCCGCTCTTTTGTGGTGCCGCCCTCTTCCTCCTTCTCCTCTGGGCTTTCTGAGTACTTCCCCTTTTTCTCGGCGCCATCTTCGGGCGGTGGCTTAGGATTTTGCTGTGCCGCCATTTCCATGGCAGCTTTGCTGACCATGGCTAGCTGGGTTTCTAAGTTCGCATTCTCGCGTAATAGGAGCGAAACTGTGTGGAACAGTACATTAATCATTTTCCCTTTGTCCCATTTGGGGCCTGTCCACTTAGTCACGGTGTGACCCTCTGCTTCTAAATTTTCGCGGAGCTGGGTGAGCAGTTCATGGCTGCGTGACTGGGGTGCCAGGGTCAGACAGTTAAACTTGTCGGGGGTGGGGGGGTGCCTTCCCCGCCCTCTCGTACGTGTCGAATGCAGCAGGCAAACTCTTGGGTGGGGGTCGGGTTTGCCGCACCCGTCGTTTTTACCCACGCCAGGGACAGTGTTTCTACTTCATCCCGTGGTCTGTACATGACCCCTTTTCCGCTCATAATGCACCCGAAAGAGCTTGGGTCCAGCTGGGCGGCCCACTCCTTTCTGGCTCCCTCTTCTCCTCTGAGGGAGAAGTACCCGGCGACCAAGTTTGTACTCCTCCTGCCTGCCTGATGATAGGCAATGTGCGCCCATAGGTCATCTGAGTCGGACGTTAGGCGCTCCCCACTGCGCCATGGGCAATTTTTAACTAGTTCCGACTCCATCACGTCTTCCCCGAATCCTGTTCGTAACGCCATGTGGTGTCCAACCGGCTTGCCGGGCTATGGCCGGGAGCCCGGAGCATCAGGTGGGTACTTCAGCGAGTGGAGCGGAATTAGGCACAGATGCGTATTGGTAAAATAGATTGTTTACTTACGCCGCCGATGCGTGCAGCGCAGGAAGAAGCTGACTTTGGTTGCAGTTACGAACGTAGCGAGAGCTCTTTAAAACGAGATGAGACGTTCCGTAAACGGCTTATCGAGCATGCAGGAGAAGGGGTACATCAAGGAGGTCAGTGACGGGGAGTCGTTGGTGGGCGATCAGTCCGCCAGGTTTACTCCGGGTTGCGTGCGGAGTTCTCCAATGAGGGTGGAAGCTGCTCGTACTTTTAAATAGTTAACAGGCCAATTGCTAGTTGCCAGGTGGGAATAATTTGTAACCGGCCAATGGGTGGCGCGCATGGTCAGCCAATTACAAGGGCTTGTGAAGTTTAAACAAATGTAGTCGTTGGGCTTGGCGGGGCTTTTCACTGTGCTGGGATTTTCCACTGTGCCATAGGCATTTACTTAATGGGTTCTGACATATAGGTGCCCTTTTACTGGACTTAGCCCTAGTGTTTTCTTATCGGGAGCAATCACAGTGCTGTCAGAGCAAGTCTGCATCCCTGAATCAAAGCACATTAAAAAAAGTCAGAGGCGCCATTTGACTTTACTGAGCACTAGACTAGGAGCTAAGTCTGTCTTGCACAGATCAACTAGAAGAAAGAAACTCCCTGTCTCCTTGATATAATCATGCCAAGTAGGCCAGGTTTTTTTGCCTTGAGATTGCTAGTGATAGGTACGGGACTCGGGGATGTTTTTGCCAAAAGTAAACCTATGCAGGAAAATGGCAGAATGCAGGCTTAATGCTCCTTTGATAAGTCTGCTGAAGGTGGGGTTAACATGTCTAGTGCTGCTCCCTTGCTTTAAAAGGAGTGGTAAGTTGACTTGAGTGCCTACAGCTATCTCCTCGGACTGTGGGAGTGGTTTTTGCTCATTGTTTGAGCAACTTTAAAAAGCACAGTTTTGTGCTGCCAACCCTAAGAGTTAAAAAATAATGAATTAGGCTCCCTTTCAGAACTTTGAGATTGGCTTAAAAATAATTAAATGTTAAAAATAAGTTGTTGGGGTTTTTTGGGGTTTTTTACTCTTTTAACCTTTATGGTGCATTTGGATCACCAGACTTTACCTCCTAATATATCTCAAAGGAGCAAGGGCAGAATTTTGCCCTAAATACAGTCAGAAATTAACATTTCTTGTATCTCACTGTCAGCGGCCTTAACTTGCACTCTTATTTCTGTTCAGTAAGGATTTAACAAACGGCATTTTCTCTAGGTTTCTTTAAAGGGCACTGACAATATTTTTCATCGTTTGGAAAATTGCAGTATATTGTTTTTACTATACTAACCACGTAATTGAAACTAAGTTTTTTGTTCCTTAATCCCCATTTTTCTCCCTTTTTACCCAGTCACTTGGTTTGGGTAAAACCAAGTAACTTCACTAAAGAGATACTGTTTAAAAATATTATCGAGTTTCTGTGTAAAGGTACTGGGGACACGAATGATTGAATGAATGATGTAAGCATAGGAAAGGGAGCCCAGAATCACTCTGGGTGTGAACAGGCATTCACCACACCCAGTTTAGGTTTAGGCGGCTTACTTTAAGCCACTTAAACCTGAACTGGGAATGGTGCATTTGCTGGTGCTGGGAGTGGTGTGGGCTGCCTGAGGTAAGTACCTTGCAGCTAGGAGAGGGCCTGTCAGGTCTGTGGGAAGAGGGGGTTGGTGGGGTGTGTGGTGGGGGCTTCAGGAGGTAAAAATAGCCTGTTCAGGGTCAAAGGGGTTGAGTGGCTGGACTTACTCAGCCCCAGGGCTATGCTGTGAATGTGTGTGGGGTTTCACTAGGTCAGGTTAACTCGTTGTAGATTGGTTTAACCCTTTATTAATCTAAAATCAGTTTACCTTCTCAGGTGAACTAATTTATATCTGGCATGCCATTTTTGGGTGATTTAAGTCCTATGACTGCCTGCATAACTAGGCATTTATATCAACCTAACATTGATTAGGTCAATCTAAATGTAAATGTTTGTACATACCTTAGAGCTCTAATAGTTATTCTTCCTCATTTTCTGTCTGTAAAATGTGAGCAATAAATAGAACTGGTCAGAAAAATCTGATTAAACACCTTGTCTTCAGAATTTGCTGATTCTGAGAAGTTGAAAGGTTCTCTTGGAGCAGTTTAATTCTGATAAAGTTCTACTGGAAGCCCTCTTATTTCTTACCAGGCCAGCCAGCTAGCCTCTTGGCATCTCAGGCTTCCAGGGTCCACATCTTCAAGGTAGCCCAGTGGGTTCAGTTCTTGGTCCTGGGTCTGTGTCTTTGAAGTCCTTTCTTCCATAGTGATATTTTTCTGCCATGTGTTTTCTGTCTTTCCCTCAAATCTTTGTATATTGTTTTTCCTCACTTTATTTTTCTGCTATGTTGTTTTACTCTTTGATGTTCCACATCCATATTATGTTGTTTCTTTTCACCTAGACATTCTCATATCTCCTCTTCAGATTTATCCAATCCAGTCCTTTGTGAAGATGCTCCTATGGTACCAAACTGAAATTTACAAGAACCTTGCTCTTTGAAACGCAAGCATTCAGCACTTCAAAGCTCCAGAGCCTCCTTACATATGTAATTCACGTGCACACTGAATTTTATTGTAGTCTTGCTACAGAGTTTTCTTTAAAATCTGTCTGTGCTGAAGTACTTGTTTTATTTTTAAAAGCCGATGGAATTGTACAGGCAATGTAAGATAATGAAAGTTGGGTCAGCTTTTCAAGCTATCAAATATAGCAGGCTTTTAAAAACAAGTTATTAAAACTGGTATTTACTATTTATGTTTGATATTAAGGGTTGAAATACAGTTTCCAAACTATTGCCCTCTTTTGTATATACATATGTATTTATGTATATACATTCTTAATTATTATTTAGGAAGGTTAGTGATTTAGGAATCAAATGTGATGCTATTACCATGTTTCTCCAGATATCTTGTCTGGTTGTGTGGATTTCTGGCCTCATGAGATTCCCACGGTAGGGGCTGACTTTGTGGAATTAAGAACATCACGTTCAAAGATAACACTGTGAAAGAATGTCATGGATGTTACAATGAACTTTATATAGCCATAGAAATTTACAAGTATAATATACATTTGTAATAAATCAGTTACAAATATATGTGTGTTTGTATGAAAGAGAGATACTTACTTATGTGGTAGATGAAAATAATTCCCTCTGTTACAGATTACCCCAGAGGCCTTCCTTGCTTGGGTTCTTTGGCTTTGTCTAGTCTGAGTACCATCCAAAGGCAACCAGGCATGGCTTCTAGATTGGGGTGAACCCATGGCCCCTCTTGTCCTTTGCCCTTCAGTCACCAATCCTCTCTGGTTACCTAGGCCTTCCTTGAGGGAGGTACTTCTCCAGAACTTTATTGCTTCAGAGGGGAAAGGAGTGCTCCTTGAAGTCCCAAGCAGCAAAACATACGGCTCCTTCTCAATAAAAAGATTTATTGGGCAAACTGAAGTCCAGCAAACAGAGTCCTTCTTGCCCTTCAAAGGGTTAAGCAGTCCAGTTGTCCCTAATCCAGCCTGCACACCCCCCAAGTACCCCAAAATTAGCTCGTATGTTCTCTCTGTCCCATCCCCCTCCAGGACTCTTAGTTTTTCAAACTGCCTGGCCCATTGATTGATGCTTCTCTCTCTAAGGCTTGACCCCTTCCAGTGTCACCTTTTAAGGATGTTTTCTAGTTCCACCTTGTTGAAATGTTAACAAGGCTCTTCCATTCTTTATGGTTGGATGTGTCCCAGGTCATGTAGATAAGGCAGGTCTGGCTTCAGTCTCTCTTAACCCATTCTTTTCCCCCCGTACTACCTAGTCTGGGAAACTGAAGCATGCAGCTTACTACAACACAAACACATTTACACTGAGAATATTACACAAAACCATAGTCTATCATACCCTCTACTTCAGAAATTTCTATGTGAAATGGATTTTCTTTTACACACATTCAGATGGGTTAACTATGTGTTAACTATAGATGTCTCTTCCAGCCTTCACCTTTGCCTTTGCCGTCTCCTGTCCTCTCTGAGATTGTGGATGACATGTATTCAACAGAATTAACAAATTTATTAAAATCTGACAGGGCCATAATGTGAGTGCTTCTGCTATGGCCATTAAAATCTTGAAAATCTATGAAACTTCATTATAAATTTTTGTATGATGGCAGCAGCAAGGAAGCCCCAATCCTTGTGCTAGGCACTGTACAAATAAGAAGCAGACCCTGCAAACATCCTAAAAATCTAAACAGGAGCGGCAGACAAAGAAGGTAGGATGGGAAACAGAGGCACTGAGAAATAAAGTGACTTCCCTGAGGTTTTGTGCTAGGTTACTGTCTGGGAACAGAATCCAAGTCTTTTAACTCTTAGTCAATTTCCCCTAGCCATTGGATGACATTGCTTCTCTAACTGGAGTGAATTAATTCCTGATATAACTATATTGCCAGTGACTTCACATCAGAGATGGATTTGGCCAATATCTTGTGATTTGTCTAATTTCCAAAACCCTCTATGAATTATGATTTGCAACAAATACCAATAAATCTGTTCTTTAAGCTGCTGTTTATACTGTTGGAACTCTTGCTGGAGTGGGGAGTAGAAAGATGCGTGAGAGAACTCTTCAAAATTCACCTTATGGGTAGAAGTCAGTATTTAAGATCACGCCACCCTACATTTTCAAACCAACACCCTCCTAAATTTTCATTTAAGCCGGTGAAGGAAAGTAGGTTGATTTGAAGTAGGCAATTCTGTTTAATCTTACACATTCTTCTCTTGATGCAGTAAGTAATCCTGAAAAAGTGCTTCTGTCTTGCATAACCACGAAAACTTCTAGTGGTACATATTTATTTGAGTTAAAAGCAGTGGGACAGTGTCTTACTAATGAGGTCTGCATTAGCCAAACATTTATCTGAGGGCAACATTTGTCTGCATTTGAAAATACAGCTGTTATTTATATCTAGAATCAACTGATTTATATTGTTACAATTAAATAGTAATGTTTACATTAAAAATGAAATTTCTAATTAAATAGTTTATATTTATTTTATGTAAATGTATTATTTTATTTTAGCAAAATATTTTTATTTTCATCAACTATGTAAACAAGTGTACCATAGTATAGTCCCATAAGTGAAAGATTCATGGATTAGAATCCCTAACTGGTACAGTGAAAGCGAGCACTGAATAATCTGCTTTACATGTTTTGGTATTCTCTTTCTGTCTTCCCACCCTTGCTATCAAATCCTTTTAAGAAAAATACATACAAATTATCTTGTTTTATGGGCTCAGAAAAGAAGTGCATGTGTCGTAACCCTTATCCTGTTTGTTTTTGAAGAAGGTGTAGAAATAATGTTCTCGAACAAGGGGTCATGTTCAGAGCATTCCATTTAGCTATGGATAAATCAATTAATGATAGCAATCTTATACAGGTGATGCTGTAGGGGAAGTACATCAGGCAATAAATAAACCCAAGATATGCTCTATTTATTTCCAGTGTGTGGAGAGCTTGTACAGCAATGATTGCATAAAGCATTCAAAATTGGTTGAGACAGTTTTATTAGTTTTAACTCCTGAGTTTGCTTTTTCTGTGATTGGTCATGAAAAATTGTTTATGGCCAACCCAAAACAGAGACTTAGCAGTCATGGTTTTTCGTAAGACTGCTGGAAGACGGGGCATCATATCAGAAAATAGGCCATACTGGGCTAAAACCTTGGAGGTCATAGGTGTTGCTGCTTAGGTGCTAGTGAAGAAAAGAAATTTCTTTTATGAAATATCTGACCTAGGGGTGTTTTTTTAGAAGCAATTCCTTTAGAAGACTAAGGAGCAATGTGGACATTTTGAAGAGATGTACTTCAGTGATGTGCCCTTTGCTTTTATATAAAATTATAATTAATCCTCTGATATTAAATCTTGTTTGAAGAAACTGCATCAGTCAATCTGAGACAGTTAAACTGCTGCCAGCAATTCATAAAATGATGCCATTACTCAAAGTTTGAATCTGGAATCACAAATTTTCTCCCAAACGTAAGAATTCCCTTCTATCCCATCATCCTGATATGTGGGAGAAAATTTACTTTCAGTAGATGCCAGGATGGACATTTTATCATCCAAAGTTTTCCTTATTTGTTTTTAGATTTTTGAGGCAAGTGAACAGAGTATTAATATTTATCAAAGAAGAAGGCAAACCAACAAGAGATCCATAATTGTTTTAACTTCCAAAACTATTTAAGTTTATCAAAGCAGTGTGAACTCTACATTCAGTTTTTTGTTTTCTAAAGCAAAGTCAGTGTCTGTTATTCTAAAAATCTACTGTGGCAGAAAACTCTGCATTTAACCCAGGGCTATCCAACTGGCCTGCAGGGTTAAATTATGGCCCCAGCTACCACTCCATCTCAGCCAGCAGTTATGAGCTCTAACTCCAACTTCTCTCCCTTTGCCTTCATTTCCTGGCCTTGCCCCATGGCGCAGGTTAGGGTGGCATGGTGCAGCCCATGGTACTCGGAGCCCATAGTTGGGGATCTGAGGCTGAGACCAGGGCACCTGTGCATGTGGTGTAGCCGAGGGGGTGCCGATATGGCATGTGGCCTATATGGGGGAGGTCTGTAGCTCGTGGTGGTGTGGCTCAGGGGTCTGAGCTACACTAGACTGCTTAGAAGTTGTACAACCCTGATTTAACCTGAGGTGCTCACTTATTGGGTCACAAATAAGCTTGCATGACCCTGCAAGAATCCATAGGTTAAATTTATAAGAGTATACACATACTGTATGAAGATATATGGGTTGGACTATAAACATGACTCTGCCTTTGCATCCATTGTGAAGATCTTCAAAAATCTCTCTCTTTCTCTCTCTCTCTCTCTGCCTCAGTGGTAACAGGAAATCATGGCAAAGTAGCGCTGGAAGGGACATTAGGGCTGCATCCAGATGGGAGCTGCCATGTGGTATATGGTTCCACAGGCATGTCTGCAGTGCCACATACTGCACATTCAGTTCATAGATTTCATAGACATTAGGGCTGGAAGGGACCTTAGAGGATCATTGAATTCAGCCCTTCTCTCTCTTTCTCTCTCTCTCTCTCTGCCTCAGTGGTAACAGGAAATCATGGCAAAGTAGCGCTGGAAGGGACATTAGGGCTGCATCCAGATGGGAGCTGCCATGTGGTATATGGTTCCACAGGCATGTCTGCAGTGCCACATACTGCACATTCAGTTCATAGATTTCATAGACATTAGGGCTGGAAGGGACCTTAGAGGATCATTGAATTCAGCCCTCTGCCTCAGGAGCAGGAAGTCAGCTAGGGTCAAAGGATCCCAGCAAGATAGATGTACAAATGTTTCTTAAAATAATCCAGAGTAGGTGCTTGCACCACCTCTGGGGGGAAGTCTATTTCAGGCCTTGGGGGAAGTTTTTCCTTATGTCCAGCCTGAAACGGTCATGGAGGAGTTTGTGACCATTTGACCTTGTTCTCTATGCTGCAAGGGAGCAGCATGGAGGGGTTTTTTGACCCGTGGATATCCAGGGGTCAAAAAAAAAAACGAAGAAAAAAAGGTTGAGCGGTGCATGCAGCAGCAGCAGCGTGTTCCACCCAAAGCCAGAGCCTGGTTGGCTGGAGCCACGCTCCACTGCCAGCCAGGCTCCATGAAGCAGAATCGTCACTGCTGCAGTTCTGGGAGGCCCCCAAGACCCCAGGTAAAGCTACTGGGGCCAGCCCAGTGATGGCCCCAGCCTCCCCTACCCCACCCAGAGTAAGTAGCTATTTGCCAGAGTGCGCATGGCACCAGTGTTCCCCAGGGACAAATAGTGGTGGCACAAGGTGCGCCACCATTAGTTGTTTCCAGGGAACCAAATGTCCACACATGTCTGGACACAGCCTAGGAGGTCCTCTTAGCTATATACCCCCTGCTCAAGGAAGGATTATCCATGACTGAACCTCCCAGCCAAATGCTTATCTAATTTACTTTTAAAACTTTCCAAAGAAGGAGATTCCATAAACACTTTTGAGTAGACTTTCCAATGCTTAACCACCTTCAGTAGTGAGAGAGTTTTTCTTGATGCTCAACCTAAATATCCTTTCCTTCAGTTTAACAACTGCTTCTTGTCCTGTCCCCGGCAGCCACAGAGAATAGTCTATCACCATCCTCTATATAACCATTACCTCTATAATACCCCTCAGGTATTTGAAAACTCATCAAATCCAGAGCAAATGATCCCAGTTCATTCAGATTTCAGTAGGTTCTTTTCTCATTCTCCAAGTTACTGGTTAAAAAGTGATGATTCCTTTGGTTTCTATGTAATACTTTTCATAGATAGTTAAAAGTAATGTGTAAAATTCTGGTTTATAGTTGAGACATTTTCTGAGATTTAAAGGAACACACAAAGTTTCTTTACTGCTCAGTGTAAAAAAGATTCTAAGATTTTAGTCTTAGGATTGAAAAGCATCTGACTGAGTAAGTTGTTCCCTATGAAATCTCATGCTTCTCCAGACCTCTGAGCCAGTTAGTTTCTAAGGTTCCACTCTGTCCTTCTCTCTACTTGAAAGAACAATAAGGTACTAGTCTTTAGTCTGGTACATCTGACCCTTTAAAATGTCTTTCTTTCTTATTTGTTTTTGATCTTTATGAATTTATATCTGAAGCAATTTACTTGTGCTCATCTTTGGACAATGGCTAAGTTAATTTTGAATGCACCTAGTGTCATTTTATTAATCAATAGCACATTGTGAGCACAGTTAACAAACTGATGTTTGGGGTATTGGTAGGTGTTGATCATAATACAGTAGTTAAGACTGCTCTTTTTTAAAGCTCAAAATAGTTAAAGGTATGCCATTTTTCTTAGAGGATTTATTACTTTCTTTTTTTTTCTTTGTTATGGAGTCAGAAGCAGATGACTCCACAACAGTAGCCAGAGTGCCTCAGAAAGTGAATCTGGTTGACTGCTGTTTAAGTAGCCATCTAAACAATTATATTCTGAAGCTAATAATCACTGTTCAATATATATCTTTTATGTGAGCAGTTTGGCCAACTCAAAAAAGAGAGACAACCATTTTAATATAGGAAAAAGAACACAATAAGGAAAAATTACATTACAGAGTCCTCTCCATTATAGTTGAATCCTCAGATTTTGATCAAACCCTCCTCTCCTGCCAAGTCACCATTCCAGTGCAATAATCATATGCAGAAATCTTAAGCAAACCAATTAACTGAAAATGAATAGGTCCTTGATAAAATGTGAAAATTTACTGCTATACAATCGCACTGTATCTCTTTCCACAAACTATATAAAAAATTTAAGACTCAGATATCTCAGATTTATTTAAAATAATGCTGTTAATTGCCTCTACATTTTACATTGCAGAAAGCCTTCTGTTTTAATTTCTGTTATAAAAGTGATATACTATAGTACTGGGAATATTTGCTGTAAGTTAGTTTTGGTCATATTTGCTGAAATGAAAAATCAGCAAAAAATAATGTGAAGAAATTTATTTTTAGCAACAGACAAGTGGCAGTACCCATTTCCAAAAGGAGAGCCAGAAGCAAAAATATAATTTACTGCACATGTATGACTAATGTCCTCTGTTCTAAAATAGACAGTTCTAGCTTGCTTGCTAAGTATTCTTCATGTCACATGGCATATTGAATGTACAAGACTCCTCCTCTCTCTATTACCTGCTTTTCTTTCCAATGTTGATCATCCTATTCCAAATTCTTTCATTTCTCTTGTTAATGTACTATTCCATGCATCTTTGGGCTTTCTCTTTCCATTCAGTTGGTTCCCAAAATATTATTGAACAATATTTTATTGCTGAGTCTTCTCTGATGCCCTGTTTTTATGATAATCAATTTCACCACAAAACTGTCAAAATTCTTTTGAGAAATCTGCATATAAACATTTCAGTTTCTTCCCAAAATTTTTTTCATCATCTAGTTTTCACTGCCATCTAGCAAGGCTGATTTTATGTTGCTGTTGAATAGTTAATGTTTGTTCCAAGACTGCGTTTCTTTGACCTCCAAATGTTGTTCA